CTAAGCAAATTGCTCAGTGAAATTTATAATATTACAAAAAGTTACTTTGAGGAAATCGAACTTCTCTCCCGAGCAATCACGACACGCAAAATCAGCAGACCATGCTTTGCCAATATAATTGCCTAGGTAATTCATGAAACGCTTGCTCGACTCATCGCCGTGTATGATCAGTGGAGTTGTCGAATGATCAGTGTTCGTCACCTTCAAAGCAAATTCGGTTCAGTTCGATTCCCGAACCAAAATTATTTCATACGTATTGCAATCGCAAGCGATTTACTGACTGAAGCGTTACGGTAAAATTCATTGTATACCATTGAAAGAAGCGTTAGATTGAGTTGTTGTGAGAAGGTATTCCACTTACATAAGCGTCTCCGTTATCACTGAAGTCTAATCTGAGCTCGTCGACACTCACGTCAACGCTCTGTAGCAATTCGGACTTTGAATCGATCGAGACCTTCAGCGAATTCTACAATTACACAGTGGACTACAGAAATTGCAGTCAAATAATGCTTGAAACAATAAGAATTCCTGACGAGAACATGAACATTCATCATTTAAAATCAGTTAAGTTCAAGTCATTCAACAATTCGACGACATAAAGTTTAAAATAATATTTTTCTATCAAATACGGCCGAACATTCGCCACCAAAATCATTAACAGTTCGGGATTTAGACCGATTCCCAATCCTGCGGGTATTCCTCAACAGTATTCAAAAGAGGTCTCCTCTCTCGCGAAGGGTGGAGGCCCCTTGATCGAGAAGAAGAGAACTGATCTCACCCTTATTTGTTCATTCAAAAACAACTGTGTGTAAATCAGTTGCTCATCTTTGATTTCATTCTCAGCTTCTGCAGATTCGAGCAGATTGAACAAGTCTGTTGCGTAACCAATGAATGATTTTGAATCCAGAAACCTGCAAGGAATGCCATTGTCAATTGCTGTTTTTAGACTACGATCAGTAACATTTTGAAATATCATCACTGAAACTAATACCGTCGAGATATCGTCAACTGAGATATCCTTATGAAGTTATTTTCCGGAAAGAGAATGGTTGAAGTCAACTGCATGTGGAAGAGAAGTGCGTGTTTTGAAAGGTAAGTATCGCATACAAAGCGATTACTAGCATTTAGACCAATTCACTCTTAGCTTCTGCAGATTGACATTGTTATTATTTCCGATATCGCCATTGGGATCGTTACGATTCATTATCATTATTNGTGTTACATTATTCGCCATGTTATCACTGATATTACCAGACCTATTGTCGATACCAATAATCTAACGAATATTGCTCACCTTTTACCCTTCTTCACACTTGGATATCGTTCTTGAAGCGATTCATCTGGGAAACATGATCTGCTTGCTGAGAAAACAATGCGACTTTCGGGAAAAGATTCTGTGAATCTTTTCAAAATTTCATCCTCAGCACCATTCAACACTGAGGTATCTCTAAAATAGTGAGGATTTCAAGAAATTCTTCAACTGACTCAATAATTTTCTAAGTGAAATCTCAGATATTATTATCGGTAAATGAGGCTAACTTTTGTCCATCTTCTTATACCATATGAAAATGATGGCTCTAATTTTTGTGACTATACAAGCGATCACACGACTAAGAATTTCCAAGACTCAAGAACACTCACTACTTTTTCTGAATAGAACATGATAATTGTTCAATATTAAAGTGAACACAGCAAACAAGCATTGTGCACATGCAGGCCGAACGAAAACAAGGATCATGCACGAAACATTAAAACGAGTAACGAACGCCTCAGTGTAGAGCACCACCAAATCGTTCCTGCCTTTATCTTTCTCAAGTGATTGCTTCAGTAATCGGATCTTTTCTGCACCATCCTAATATATAATAACGATGTGTGTATGCAGTATAAATAGGTTGATGGAATCAGACTTCAGATCTATCATCAGTTATCCAACCTACTATCGGATTCATTCTGAGCGATTCACTCATCCGATTATTTCGAGTCGATAGTGATCAAAATCATCTTCAGTCAAAGATCAAAACACAAGAAATTGGTTAATGGTGCAAAAAACCACAAAATTCATATCACAAATGACTAGATGTGCAATCAAGGGAATTAATAATGTGCTTTCATATTAATAATGTTGTATATTAACAAAGGTAACAACGATAACAGGTACGATTGATGGGGAACTATCGAATCTACATCAGTCAAGATATTCAAGACATATGGAATCCACTCTGAAACAATCCAGCAAAGAAGTCTAGAACTAGCCATCCTTTTTTAGGATAACCATTCAGACACTGGAACAATCGGAAAAGGAGGTATTTGACGAGATCTAAATGGAAGAATTCAAAAAATGTTTTGCACACCAATTCTGCGGGACGGTGCGGCAAATCGGATCCAACGATTTCCAAAGAGAGACCAAAAGAGCGTGCGGAACGCTGAAGTCGTTGTAGGCCATCGGTCTGCCTGGTTGCGATTGTGATAACTTTCAGGGATAATGACTGAGCATTGACCGAATCTGACAATAGCAAAACCAACGTTAGTAACGAGAATACACCCACTCGACTTAACATTATTAGCCCTGAAATTGAATTCTTTACAGAATCACTATTCGTCAATGAATTAATAACATTATCAACCATCAATAAGGCGATTCTACTACTAGATGACCGAATATATCCGAATAATTGAGAAGTAACCTAGACTATTACTGTAATGATTTCAAAGAATTGCAACGAAATATGCATCCTAAGCTTACGATATTGACAAATATCAATGGAAAACTGCAGTAATACGTAGGATACTGATTATATCTCATATTTCGTCATTTAGATCAT